ATAACTCAACAGATCACCAAGATGTATTTTCCCTTTTAGCTTCAAATATCAAGCAGACACGCCCACCCACCGCTCTTCCCGTGTCGTCGAAACGATATGCCCACGCCAGCTGAAATGTTCATGCCGTCATCAACAGCAAATACAGTCCAGTACGGAGGAGCAGAATTGGCAGGGGCAGACCACCTGGAAAATCTGACTTTTCACCCCGACACCAAGCCATTGACGGACGAGAGTCTGAACTTTCTCACTTTACGTATCCTTAAGTTCAGCGGCCCGCTGGTGTCGGTGCGAGGGTTACAGAGGACATTTTCCTCCTGTCGCACGGGGCGAATGTACACTGCCCCAGAGGTAACGTTATTTTGAAAAAGTGAAGTGGTCCATAAAATTTATTTCAGATCATAAAGATAAAATATTTGAATTGCTGTTGTAAAAGGAAAAAGTAAAATAAGAAAAAAAAGTTAAAGTAAGTTAGCATGTATACATTTTTACAAAATTTAATGCACGAAAAGGCCCTTTATATTTGCTTTCGCTTTTAAAAGTTTTCAGCGATTCCACCCCTTCTCTTTTCAAGGTCCAGCAAGCCATGGCTCACCTTGATATGTCAGGACTAGGGAAAATCTTGAAATCGTCCAGGAAAGTTATGTTTGCCAAAATAAGTCCTGGCGCCGTAAACCCGCACACGCTTCAATTAGTGACCGGCCAGAGCGTGGATGAATACAGAGAGCATTTTGAACGTTGTCATAAGCAGGTTCTCGCTTGGTCAGATCAGGTCAAAGTTCATGTTCTCGGCCTGTGCCAGAAAACTTACGGAGACCAATACGCCACCTATGTAAGACGGCTTATTGGATGCGACGCTCCCATTCAGTGATGTCTTAAGATCGTGAAGTTATATATGGGCTATTTCATTAGATCAAAGTCCCATTGTTCACGTGTGAAGTTTTTCAACAATGTTCTTAGCTAGCTTTAGGATGTCTAAGATTTTAGTTTTATTTATTTTAGTCTACGAAAGTTTTATTTTTCTGAAGAAAAAAAAAACATCAAGCAAGACTTCTGATGAAAGTTTTTTATTAGGTTTCCACAAAATGAGTTGTCTTTTTATGTACAGACACAGATGTGTCTGTACATATTGCCATCACCTGCGTCTGTCGTCGCCGTCGTCGCCGATGCCGATGCCGTCGCCGATGCCGTCGCCGATGCCGGCGCCGTGCACTTTCAGCGTTAACACGATAAGTGGAAGAAAGTTTTACTTTTTGGCTTTATATTTACAGAGCTGATGAATATTCATAAAACCCAGGTCAAGTTCGAAAATCAGCATGATCGAGCCTTTATTGTAGAAGTTATGCTGTTTTTTCACTTTTCAGCATATATACAACACTGTTAACACATTTCAAGGAAAACCGATAGGCCTGTTGTCATGAAACTCACAGGAGCAATCAATCTTACTAAAACGCAGGTCAAGTTCGAAAATTGGCACGATCGGGCCACTATTTTAGTAGTTATGCTGTTTTTTCACTTTTTAGCATATATGCAACACTGTAAACACAATATAAGAAAAACAGATAGGCCAATTGTCATTTAAACTCACAGGAGTGGTCAATCTTACTAAAATGCAGGTTGAGTTTGAAAATTAGCATAATTGGGCCATTATTTTAGAAGTTATGCTGTTTTTTCACATTTCCTTAGATTCAGTTCTTAGGCATGTTAACAGTTTCATTATTTAATTAATAAGAAATGTAAAAGTGTTTGTTTGACATTTTCTGCATCTTTACAACATTGTTAGTTGATTTCGTAAAAATGATGGTAAACTTGTTATGGTGTATTGTGTAATAAAGTGTCAAAAATGGAATTAAACTCATATCATTGCAGTTTGTCAGATTCAATTATTCAGTATGTTTAGAAACTCAGAATGGAAGAAATTGGACATTTAACACTATTCTATTAATATTTTTCCCATCTCATCAATTTTCTTAGTTGATCATATATAAATGGCAGTAAATTGTTAATTTTGTTATATGTTAAAAAATTGTTAAAAATGGAAAAAAACACATTTCAGGACAGTGCTGTCTTGTCTACATTTTGGCATATTCAAGGTGTGACTTTGAAGTTCCTTGGGCCTGAAGACCTTTGCTAGGAACATTTTCTGAATATCCATGATACTAATATTTTATTATTAAAAATTGATGGTAATTATCCTGTTAAACATTATGTAATATTGCATCAAAATTTGAAGACACCCCTATTTTGGACACTGCTCCCATGATGACCATTTAAGGAAAACCATGTCACTTACTGTTCTCAAACTTACAGGAAGAAACATGGGACTTAAATAAAGCTTCAGTGGGCAATGCAGTCTATTTGGTAAATTTTTTTGGCAGTTAATCAGTTTTTTGTGAAAATTTAATTTTTCACATATTGGCATTTTCAAGGTGTGACTTAGAACCTCCACGGGCTTGAAGACCCATGCTAGTCACATTTTCTGAAAATCCACGATACGTATATTTTATTATGAGGCCACCTGCGTCTGTCGTCGCCGTCGCCAATCATGTTGCCGTCACCGTCGCTGTGCACTTTCAGCGTTAACACCGTAAGTGGAAGACAGTTTTACTTTTTGGCTTTATATTTACAGAGCTGATGAGTATTCATAAAATGCAGGTTAAGTTCGAAAATAAGCATGATCGGGCCATTATTGTAGAAGTTATGCTATTTTTTCACTTTTCAGCATATATGCAACATCGTTAACACATTTCAATAAAAACTGGTAGGCCTGTTGTCATGAAACTCATAGGGGTAATCAATCTTACTAAAACGCAGGTCAAGTTCGAAAATCGGCATGATCAGGCCACTATTTTAGTAGTTATGCTGTTTTTTTCACTTTTCAGCATATGTGCAACACTGTTAACACATTTCAAGGAAAACCGATAGACCTGTTGTCATGAAACTCACAGGAGTAATTAATCTTACTAAAACGCAGGTCAAGTTTGAAAATCAGCATAATCGGGCCATTATTTTATAAGTTGTGCTGTTTTTTCACGTTTCCTCAGATTCAATTCTTAGGCATGTTAACAGTCTCATTATTTAACTAATAAGATTCGTAAAAGTGTTTGTTTGACATTTCCTGCATCTTTACAACATTGTTAGTTGATTATGTAAAAATGATGGTAAACTTCTTATTTTAGTAGTTATGCTGTTTTTTACACTTTTCAGCATATATGCAACACTGTAAACACAATATAAGAAAAACAGATGGGCCAATTGTCATGAAAGTCATAGGAGTGGTCAGTTTTGCTAAAATGCATGTTGAGTTCGTAAACCAGCATAATCGTGCCAATATTTTTGAAGGTATTCTGTTTTTTCACATTTCCTCAGACTCATTTCTTAGGCATGTTAACAGTCTCATTATTAAACTAATAAGATACGTAAAAGCGTTTGTTTGACATTTCCTGCATCTTTACAACATTGTTAGTTGATTTAGTAAAAATGATGGTAAACTTGTTATCATGTATTGTGTAAAAAAGTGTCAAAAATGGAAATAAACTCATATCATTGCAGTTTGTCAGATTTAATCATTCACTATGTTCAGAATCTCAGAATGGAGGAAATTGGACATTTAACACTGTTCTATTGATATTTTTCCCATCTCATCAATTTTCTTAGTTGATCATATAAAAATGGCAGTAAACTGTTAATTTTGTTTTATGTTAAAAATTGTTAAAAATGGGGAAAAAAACATTTCAGAACCGTGCTGTCTTGTCTTTATTTCCACGTAAGCAGTTGTATTGTTTTTTATGTCTTTAAACATTATGTAATATTATTTTATGCACTGTCATCATTTTTCAAAAATTGAGACTTTCATCATGTGAATTTGAACTCTCATGATCCTGAAACTGTAATCTTATTGAAGGGGTGGATTGAGACCATCTTCTGGGTCTTCCGGAAGACGGTCAGGTTATTAAGTTTATATTGACTGGTATCTATTTTTTTTCTGTTGGAAGACCATAAAAATGGGGGATGGATCAACATAGATACTTTGGAATACTATCAGAAAATATCTCTGGGTCTGCTCCTGTTATTGACCATGGTACCTGTTGTGCATGATTAGAATTCAGTGTTGACTGACAGTGCTATTATAAGCATGATTTATTATTGCATCAAAATTGACAAAATGACCTATTTTGCATCTTTATTTTCTGTTTTTTGTCTGTACATTTGACAGCTTTGCTGCCTTGTTTGTTTGTTTGTTGTAACTTATATTCTCATTCAAATAAGCTTAAATTTCTTAATAGAAGTTAGATTTTAATAAATTATTTGCAATTCTTATGTATTTTTGTATTCTATGTTTATCCATCGCTTTATATCAATTTGTAAAACATTGTCGGTCTGACGTAATATTAGATAACGTTTTTTTGAAAAGGAAGCTTTTATGGAACATAAAAGAGAATGAAGAAGTGAACTTCGTTCTGGTAAGACGATGTCGACTCCCCTTTATGCAAGAATACAAACTGTTCAGAAATACTGCCCACCCTCCAGTGAAAAACGTACATCACAGTTGGATATAAGCTGTGTTTATTAAATGTCTCATTAGAACAACTAAACATGAACTACACAATGGAGTCTCCGTAAAAATACGAAGATGAATAGCATCATCCATTATATTAAGAACCAATTACCAATTTGTTGATATTGGACTCTAACTTAATAGAAGCTCGTCTCTCTGGCACAAAAAAAAAACGTATTCACTATTCTCAGTTTATCCTATATTGGTTTTAAGCCTCACCCCTGAAGACGGACCCTTAAATGCAATCTTTTTATAATTTTGCACGTTATACACTGTGCATTATGATGACGCTCTTATTCATGGTTTATATTTCATATACAGAAGGTTGAAATCGAGAGTCTATGCCAAAGACCGCATTATAGGCAAAACTGACATAATTGAAATACTGCGTGCTGCTATTAACGACTTGACCATTAGGATATATGCGGGCAACTGATTGTAACAATCGCTGACAAATGTGCATATATATTTAAACATCTTAAAAGTTAACCGATAACAATAATTGGTTTCAAAAATGGCTGTAAAGTATTCAAAACTTGAAATAGCAATCTAAATGGGAGTGATTCCTAAGCACATTTACACCGATGGGGAATCTCTGTCCTTCATTGTCCGTGAGAGATTATCGAAGAACACTTATCGCACAATGAAAATCTGAATTAGACCGTTTGTGGGATGTTGTATTCCTGATTTCTTTTTTAAAATCGTGTACTACCAAAGTTAGTGATGTTTTAGATTTAAACAAATTTAGTTCCATGATGGTTTACCGTTCCACGACCTAAACATGTCACCTTTGACACCAAAAGTAAAAAATATCGACATTCAAGATCAAGAGGATAAATCTATTGGCGAAAATAGTATTAAGTGTCCGTCGAGACAATTCATATATAATAAATGATTTTAAGAATGCGGTCCAATAGCCCCTAAAGTGTTTTGAATGTATAGAGGAAAATTTAGCTTGGGCATTGAAAGAAAAGTATCGATAACCTGTTTCATGTAGTGTTTTTGCTCCAGTTTACACTTTACCTTGATGCAGTGATGTTTAAAAGGTATATTGATATTGTTGATGGGAATGTTTTTTATCCGACAAAATCCCACAAACAGTTCCTTAAAGTAACTTCCTAAAGAGAGGGAGTACGTCAGTTCAATTTATGATAACAGATAATATTATACTGAGACTGTTTAGAAGGCGATGTTAGCAATCCCTTCCCGCTCCAGTTTCTTCCTTCTCTCCAAATTTGATTGGTCAGTTATAGAATAGCGCCACGCCCTCCAACAGAACACAGCTGTCACGCAGACTGACACCACGCACAGCACCACCAAGATCACCAGTAACACCATGAAACCTATGTTCTGTATACAGCTTCTAATGCTACTCTCAATGGCTCCTGAGTCTGCAAAAGAACACAGGTATTGTCAAAAAGGTTTGTTTCTTATGAGAATGTAAAAATGTCAATAATAAAAATGCTATACTGTTGCTCAAATAGTTTAGTTTTCTCAGTTTAATTAACTTTTTTATGCACCTCTCTATGATCCCAGAAATTGGCAAATAAAAGCAGTCATCCTTACAAGATAATCCGTAGGAATTTATCAATAGAACTGAAAACTGAAGTCACATATATTACCAATATGTCCCGTAAAATGCTTCTATGTATTTTGTTAATCAAATTTTTGGTTTGTGTTCATATCC